CTCAACCGCAAGGATCCGATCGCAGTGTGCACCGCTGGACCTCAACCAGATAGTTTGCCAGATAAAATCCACAAACACACAACAAACACACAATCACAAACACACGACCACAAACGCGCAACCACAAGCACACAACCACAAACACAATCACAAACCCACAATCACAAACACAATCACAAACACACAACTACAAACACAACTACAAACACACAATCACAAACACATAACCACAAACACAGAACCACAAACACACAACCACAACCACACAACCACAAACACACAATCACAAACACAATCAAAAACACAATCACAAACACGCAACCACAAACACACAACCACAAACACACAAACACACAACCACAAACACACAACCACAAACACAACCACAAACACATCCACAAACACAACCACAAACACACAACCACAACCACAGGTACAAACACACAATCACAAAGACACAACCACAACCACAACCACAACTACAAACACATAATCACAAAGACACAACCACAACCACAACTACAAACACATAATCACAACCACTACCACTACCACAAACACAACCACAAACACATCCACAAACACACAACCACAAACACAACTACAAACACACAATCACAAAGACACAACCACAACCACAACTACAAACACACAATCACAAAGACACAACCGCAACCACAACCACAACTACAAACACACAATCACAACCACTACCACAACCACAAACACACAACCACAAACACACAACCACAAACACACAACCACAAACACACAACCACAAACACAACCACAACCACAACACAGCACACAACCACAGCACACAACCCGAGGACCCACAAGCAACATCGAGAACTACAATACTAACGACTATGGCAACATGCTCCTCACTATGGCATCAAGACAAATGATTGAAATGTCATGGTGGGGATCACTCGAAGTAAAGTAATTTTAAATGTCTTCAAGCAGCTGACTTCATTAACCCTAATTTGCCTCGTTCTGTGTTCATCCTTCTGCATCTTCTTACGACTCAGGATACGTGAGTCTCGCGGCTCCTCCGTCCCAAGGTGCGGTCACGGTGGAGCGGTCTCTTCTGATTCACGAACGATTTCTGCAGGATTTTGCAAGTTTGACAAACTGAAAAGACATTCAAAGACACCTTTCAGGATCATGGGATCATGAAGGATATATTGATATATTATGTTTTTCCATGGTGAACCCCCCCATGGGACGGTCGTATTGCCCTTGTTAACCTCTCAATGTCCCCCCATGGTCGGTCACCGTTCGTCACACCGAGGCGACGCGCGTCGGGTTTGGCTCGACCGCCTTTGGAAGGACGATGGCTGCAACAAGTCGAGGTGCATCGAAGAGTAACAAGGTTCGCTACTAGTAACAAGTGCATCGCTTCTAGTAACAAGTGCCTTACTAGTAGTAACAAGAAACTATTAGTAACAAGGTTCGCTACTAACAAAGGGCATCGCTACTAGGAGCGTTCGGACGCTACTAGGGGCTCCTGGCATCGCTACTAGGAGCAATGTTCGCTACTAGTAGCTCCTGACTCCTGACATTACTAGGAGCATTCTTGCTAGTAACAAGAAGCTACTAGGTGGAGACCATGGCTAGTACAGTGATCGAAGATGGGGAAAACCGCGACCGGAGCGTTTCGTTTCTTAACGACCGAAGCTACGGGCGGCCATTGCTATTCGGAGGCCATCGCTAGTAAAG